AATACACAGAACCAACAGTATGCACACACACACTTGCATAGTGCAGCCTGGCTTGTGTCCCACTTCCCCCTCTGTCTGGCCAAAGGAATGCTCCGTTTCCTGTATGTTGTGATCAGTGTACGCTGACTGCTCCCCAGTGGGCCTCCTTACAGATCCTAGCAGCTTGATAAGGAAACACTCTTCTCTACTAGTAGATACAGTGGCTACTGAAGCCACTAGCCTAGTGCCCATTCAAGTCTACATTCCAATTTTAAGCCATTTTTTCACATTTAGCATCCTGTACTGCTATTGACGTGTTCCCACAAATGAGAGCTTTGGTGACAGATAAAAGCATGACAGAGTGCTGTACGGCTTAACCAAAGTGGAACAGTAATAACTCTTTCACACACACATTAGATATACCTCAATGTATTAGGCTACTCTTTCAGCTGATGTGAAATTGATGTAATTTATATGTTCTTAAAACGTTTTGAATCAATTCATAACGGTAAGGAAGTCATTCAGACTGTTATTTCCTTACAGTTTATCTTAATCCCAGCACAAACTGAAGACTATCACATCTCCAGCTGCAGTTGTAGTTAAAAATAGACAAATTATCTCTGTGGCCAGATTTTATTAGCAACTATAGTGTCAAATATGGGAAGAAAGAAGCCTCAGTGCAAGAATACACTCCAACAGAACTCTCCGCACTGCAGAGAAACTGTTTCCAAGATTAGGGTGAATGGGGTCCTGCATACTTGTAGGCATGACAGGTAATAAATATCATCAAATATCACCCAAAAAGGGAGGCATGCATGTCTGTTTGTATTACAAAACAATGTAGAATTTATTCTTTAAACATCATTGGAATTACTTGAATAAAAAAAAAAAACGCCCAGAACTCATGTTGCAAAAAAACCAAGACCACTATTTTAACGAAATCTTCAATGAAAAAATATATGATTGTAAAAATTGTCTTTTATTTGACTGAAGGTCACAAAATGCAAAACAATGCAGGCGCACGAACATCACTTCAGTTCTACTTTCTCAGTATGAATCATCATAGGCAGTAAAAGAAAGAACAATATTCAAGCACTGTAAAAGGTTTTACCACAAACTATACTGACCGGCTTCTATTCTGACCTTAGAACTGTGCATGAGATTGTAACTTGGCTGTGGTTAACCTTCTATGCTATTTTCACTCTCACCGCATCGTACTGGACAATGACCTCATCCGGCAAAGGCGCTGTGTTGACCAATCACATACACGGAATGATTGGGACATGGACACCTGCAGGAAGAAGACTCTTTTGTTCACCTTGTTAGCATGAGCATTCACTGCTATTCGCTGTTGAATTTGGGCCACAATCAACACACCACAACGGCACACCATGTATTTTCATTAGTACTGGATGTTAAATTGTGTTTTTATCTGTCAATGCAGAGGTGGAATTGGTGCTATGGTAGAGTAGGCTACGATAGCAGCATGGCTAACCAAAACACGATGGAAACTCATGGGCTGGAGACATGAATGAAGCCACTCATGTCAACTTGTAACAATGTGGCCATATTTTACACACCTACAACAGTCCCCCTGCAACCCTGTGCATTAAAACACAGCATGAAGGCATATTTTGGCTGGACTAATGTGAAAGTACTGTCATGCTGCTCTGGTTCTGTTATGTACTGATACTGCAACACAGCATTTGTTTCAACAAGAAATATCATCATTCTTTAATATCGCAAGATCTCGTGGCATGAGATCTCGTCACACCCCTGCTTCACACATTTGCTTTGGCATTCAAAAATCCCGTCAGCTGCTTACAGCCATTATTCACTGCTAGTGTCCCCTAAAAGGAATATGAGACAGGTATATCTCCCACAGCATCTTCTAAACATACTCAGACCCACGTAATGGCTGTATTATTAATCTCAGCTGATAAACAATAAAACATCCTCTTAAGAGTCTGGTTCAGTTTGATTCAATTCTGCTGTCTACTATGTCACAGTAAGCCTATCTATCACGCATATTAAGCCTGGAAACAGCACATAAAGCATCATGTACTGTAATTATACAATATAAATATCAACTTGGTATGGGTCTGACTAAATGTGTTTGTGTGTGTGTGTGTGTGTGTATACACACACGGGGGGGAAACTGAAAAAAAAATCTGCTACCTTGCTGACTGTCTATTTACTCTAAGCCATCATTCTGTCAGCACGGAAACATCCACCCTCTTTTATGTCATTCTCTGTTTCACTGTGCATTGTTGCACACATTAGCAGAGTGCCAGCACACAACGACACACAAGCACATCTTAATGAATGTACTATCTGAAGTTTATGTGCAGTACTGTCTCTGGAGCAGTCAGCATAAAATCTCTTCAACAAAAGCTCCACTCAGCAAAAACTCTACTCACGTCATCTCCACTGCCATCCTGCTCTTTAAACACCAGTGGTTCAAAAAGATGCTTCTGACCACACAGGGGTCCAACACACAGGGGTCCATATGAATAAAGTCATCTATCATAGCTAATTTATTATCTTTTTTAATTGACAAACTAACTATAGAAAAAAAAACAGCCAAACAGGAATGC